TGCCCTTTCGAGGACAATTCTTTGGAGATGCAGACAAAATGGAAAAGAAAAGAATTGAGAGAAGGGGATAAACAGTACAGAGAATCTGTTCCAAGTCCAAATGATAATGGGATCACAGGTCTGGGAAAACCGTCTCCTAAGAAGTCAGCCAGTCCTAGGAAGCCTATGCTAGAGAAGAAAGAAGTTATTGAGAAAATGGTTGACAAGATTCAAAGGGTGTCTCCTAATATGAGGAAAGAAGAAGTGCCAAAAATGAAATTAATGGAGGCTTGTAAACCGCTTGAACTAGAGAAGATGGCTTATCTCAAGCTCAAAAAACAGGAGTGTGTATTGAATATATCAGAACAAGAAGCTGCATTTTGCAACTCCAGAAATAGGATGTGTATGAATAAAACCGAGAAGCCAGTAAGAATTTCATCTGTAGCCACTGTTAGTTCATCTTTATGGACCTATATTTTAATTTTGAGTCACATTTTCTTAAGGGCAACTCATTTCCCATTTTGAAAGTTAGCCTTTTCTAAGAATTAATTTCTATAAATCATTTCCAATAGTTTTTTGCCTGTTGTGCAAATAAACCTTTGTCTTCTTTATTAACACGCCATTATTTGGATAATAGCTTTCTCGATGGAACATACTGATGTCTATTGTCGATGCAGGCTGCAAATCTGGGAGACAAGAAAGAACATGTTGACCTTAAACCCAAGATAGAGAGAAATAAACCAGAAAATTTCCATTTTGAGGAAGTATCTGATGTATCCCAGACTTTGGTTATGGGTAAGTTATGTTCTTTCAACAAATCCTGCATCAATGATTAGAGTACTTTTGGTGCCACAATATCTGTATTATTGTGCATGACTAATTTTCGCATCTTTTGGTCCTTTCGACTACTTCTCCTTCCGATTGGAAGGTTTAGTGAAGAAACTATCCATTAGGGGTTTCCATATCTTCAGTTGAACAAAACAATTGTCGTCTAGTGTAGATATATCATAGAAATTTGAGGGAACATTGCATTCAAGCATATCTTTTCACAGATAAATGTACTTTCATCCAATGTGATTCTTTGGGCCGTTGGTTGCAGATGATCAATGCACAGATGACACCCTTTCTTGTATCTCTACTGCACTAACCGTTGGAAGTGAGTTTGATAAACATGATCAATTTTTCATCAATCCAAAATCGAATCCTAAGGCCAACACTACCAAGAATTTGCTTCTAAACAGTACACATTTCCTCAACCACGCCAAGGACCTTTTCCATACTTGTGCATGGAAACCTGCAACTTTGAAGCCAGATTACTCACACGATGAAATGCCGGAAACCCAACTCTTACTGGATTGTGCAAGTGAATTACTAGAGAACAAAAACTTGCAGATTACACTGTCTCTTGACCGGTTACCCATTATCAGACCACAGCTTTATATCTCCCTAGACAAATTGGCAGCTGAAATATGTGATGGGATAGACACATTGATGAGTTACAAAGATCTTTCCGATAATACCCTTTGCGTGGATACCTCTAGCGTGCTGATCGAGAGAGACATGCGATGCAAAGGAGTGGCGAGAGCGGCTTTTGAGTTGGGTTGGGGAAAAGGTTTCACTTGCAATGAAGTTGAGCATGTGGTGGCTGACATGGAGAAGCTCATTTTTGGTGGAATTCTTGAGGATGCACTTGAAGATTTTTGCAGGGTTAAAAAAAGTAAAGTGTTGAGGTATGATTTAGGAGCAGCTTAACTTGTAGGGATCTGTAAATAATATATATATACACTCACTACTATAGAGGGTTTCAGTTTCACTTTGATTATTGATTGATTTGGAGGTGTGCTTATCTCTTTCAGATGTGGTTGTTAAAAATTGTGCATACTATACACAAATTAAACAAAAAGGGATTTTGTGTATGGTGAAGAATCTGATTAGGTAGCATTTGACATTGGATTCAATGAACTGTATGTATTGAATATCTACATTTAATTCTAGATTTTTGAAATATTAGGATTCCATTTTGTTATTGGTTGGCTAATTGGCCAAAAAATATTACTAAAACAAAAAAAACCTAAAGTAATACTTATTTACTCACTGTTAGAATATTAATTCAATATTTTCAAAGAGTTGTGAGAGGGAAAATTCTAGAGAAGTGTAGAAGTCTCTAGAATTGTGTAGAAGTTTCTAGAATATTCTAGAGCATTCTAGAGAAGTTTTATAGTCTCTAGAAGTGTATGGAGGAATGTAGAATCCTTAAGAATATTCTAGAACTAAATAGAGTCTTCTAGATTCTTCTAAAACATTATAAAAGCTTGTGGAGACTTTCTAAAAGATTCTAGATATGTAGAGAGGTGTGGAATATTCTAGAGAAACTTAGTCTTGGTGATGAATAGGAGTGTGGATGTCTCCTTTGGCAAACCAAGAGTGAAGAAGCAAGAAGGCTTCTTGAGAGTGCTTGTAAGTAAGGCGTAGAGAGGTGTTCCTAATACAAAGAGTGAAGTGTGTTACCCGTTTAATTGTAATCTCTTTTATATTTCTCTATATAATTATAATACAAAGTCATTTTCAGAAGTCGTGCTTTTGTATTATTGATTGTGTGCGTGAGTGTATAAGAGGTTGATTGTGTGAGTCGGGGAAAGAGGTCGAGACACGGATCAATTCCCCAACACTTACGTCCCACTAATTTTGCAATGTTGAGAGTGACATGCAAATTTAGGAGAAATAATTTTCTATCGTTAGTGATTAATTTATAAAGTATGTATTGATTTAGTCACATAAATCATATTCTTTCTATCCTAATATGAGTTGTATATTTTTTTTTTGTTTGTCTTAATTAGACTTGAATATATATTATCTTGTTCATACATTTTCTTTCTATATTGCGAATTTTTTTACTTTAATAAAATCAATGATCACTCAAGCTAGACAAACTAATTAATTTGGGATGGAGTGATTTCCAAATATGGAGCATGATGTGAGACAAATAGTTTGTGCCATGAAGAAAGGACAACAAAGTGGTACAGGAAAAGTAATATTGTTAGAGCTTGGGTAGAAGTGTAGAACATAATTACTCCCTATTTGTTGGAAAAAAAATCATTTACTTTTCAAGTAAAGTGAATGAGTGAATGAAGGGATGAGATTGTGAGAAAGTGATTCTGGTAAAAAATAGAATTAACTGGAGTAGGGGTTTGTTAGAGTATCCTAGGGAGTGTATCTCAAGTGTACACCATCTTTTGCATAGACACACAGACATTCATTGTTTATGTGAAACACACAAAATAAGTGTCTGTGTGTACCTGTGAAAGGGTGGTGTACAATTGAGATACACCACCTGATATCTCTAAGTTTTTCGTCGGTAACATTTCCAATGGTCGTAACGCTTTGCAATAGACAACATAAAAAATGATCCTAGTATTTCACAATACTAAAAAAAGAGATAAGCTCCTTAGAGTTTCTTCAGACCCGATCGGACGGTTATTGAAAAAAAGTAAATTAAATTTGAACATAAATTGGTAGCAAAGAGTGAAATCTACACTTGATACTCGCAGAGACCTTATGCTTAAATTGAACTTTGATTGAAAATTGGTAACAAACAATGGACGAGAATCGACTTGGGTCTTACACAGTTGGCACTCCTTGTCTTTTCCAACTATGCAACGCCCACCGGGTATTTTACAACGGCCCGGTTCCCTGGCCACTGGATTCCAGTGGCCACGGAAGCCATTGCCCCCCTACGGAGCTTCGTTCATAAAATTGATGATTCCTACCCCCCTAACCCCCCGGTAAACCCCGCCGCCGAGTCCCGACCCCAACTCATCCCCCACATACGTCAATTGCACTCTGTAAGTATAATTAACTTTAAAGTCAAAAGTTTTGATTTTAAAGTCAATTATACTTACGGGGTGCAATTGACGTAGGTGGGGGATGAGTTGGGGTCAGGACTCGACGGGGGGTTTATCGGGGGGTTAGGTGGTGAACGGAGCTTCGTAGGGAGGAAGTGGCTTTCGTGGCCACTGGAATCCAGTGGCCACGGAACTTAGCCGATTTTACAATACTAAGTAAATTTTATTTTTCAATTTTGCTTCAATTCTTAAATAAGTTGTATTGAAAATAATTTCAGTCAAATATTGTAAATCGAAACAAGCGATTTAAATTAGAACGGAGGTAGTAGCAAAATACGGAGAAAGAACCAATAGAACTTTCATTTTTGGCAAATTCTAACATGGTCCTAAGTTCCTTGGAGTTTTGGTGTCAATTATTGAACCTCGAAGTATTTATGTAAAATCACGTAATTCTAGATATAATCATGTGAATTTTTTCTTGATAAAGCGATACTCCATTTTTTCTACTCTGGGTATTATATGATATATGTACAATATTTTAATAATTTGAAAACTCAATATTTTCTCCTAACCCTATTCTTTCCTAGTTTCCTTAAATAGAATTCATCAATCAATCATAAAACTTGGTGAAATTACTCGAACACCACAGTGTGATGTCATATTATGATACCACAATATGTTGTCATATTATAACACCACAATTTCTTCAAAAAAACATAAAAATAAAACCAATGCATGACATCATATTATGACACCACGCTAATTTGAGATCAGTGCGATCCAAAAGTAGAATTTGAACAGAAGGCCAATAAATTTCACTCCTGTAAGTTTTTAGTGTTTAGTGCATCGCTCCTTAATTCAAGGAAATGTCCATTTTGATTGATTACAAAGTCAAAATGGTTTGAACAATCTTTTGAAATTCTTAGGCGTAGCCTCAGTTGCTTAATTTTTGCGATTATCAGTTCAATTTGTATATGAATTTTGTATTTTGTTGATAATGATAGTGACAATTGTTGGAAAAAAACGTGTGAATAAAATTTGGATGGCCATTTTTGAGTTAAGATATAAACATGTTCTAATTACGGTTTGAGTCAAAATAGAATGGAAATATGTTCTACTAAGTGTGAGACGAACGTTTTGATATAATATATGCCAAAAATGGTTAAAGGGTGAAAGAGATATTAATGCTCAAAGTAGACCCGTTGAGTGATAATTAATGAGTACACTTTCCTAATTGGGTTTGTGTTCCCACATTGGAAAGCTAACTCATTAGAAGATTATCCAAAACGCAAACAACAAACGATATTCCCAAATGAAGCCTATGTCTAGTGAAAATGTTTCTTCTATTTAAAAAATACAAAAAAAAAAGGGTGGATTATTGGGATGCCAAACTAGTATCTTCTCCAGCCAAGCCAATATCATGGTCATGCTTGTCAACAACACATCCATCTGGAGATATTGTGCCACCAACTCTTTTTGGTGGCCAGTACCGGAATATAGATCTCCCGATTATGTTCTTCGAAGGCAGTGGACCCCTGGTAAAAAGTGAATGATGAAATGAAATCCGAAACCATTCACTATCATAAAATCTTTCCATTTGCAAGGAAAGTATCATGATTTTGGAGACAATGATGAGTTAATATGATTGCTAGAGTAATGTCATGTTACATGCTAAAATCGGAATGTAGATCATAGAACGTGACTATAAACGCATAGATTATTCAATAGAAATAAAGTAAAATACTAGTACAACTTGAGATCCTTACCACACATGTGAGTCATAGCTGTTATTCCGATTATCGCCCATCACAAAAACTGACTTTTCCGGTACACGCTGCAAGATAAGATGACATGAGAACACTAAGAACAACAAAGACTTCGGTAATGTTGTGGACGTAATTGATTTTCACTCTTAATATTAAGATGACTTGCTCAAGGTTGGTAAAATTGTTATGAACTCAACTCAGTACAACAAATTTTGACCTTTATAGAAAGATATGTTCTCGGTTTGCTTTTATAGAAAGAGAGAAGAATTAATGAGTGGATTGGGGGAGAGAGGTGAACATACAATCGGAGTCATTTCATAGTTGGGGTTTTCAAGAATAAAATTTTCGTTTCTAGCAATTCCATTCACGATCAATTTCCCTTCATGAACCTGCACTATAAGAGACGGTAGTCACAAACAAATGAACAGTAAAACACTCTGTGACATGGAAATTAGTAAAGAGTTTTGATGGTCTCACCTCGACGGTATCACCTTCCTTTGCAACGATCCGTTTAATGAAGACATCATCATCCGTGTACCCCACTTCCTGAAGGACTGGAGGGCTTTTGAAAATCACAATATCATTAGGACATGGCTTTCTGAACAAATAAGAAACCTGCACACGAGAGTGTGACTGTGATCATCAATTTCCCAGGATGGATAATCAAAACAATTGAACTAAATCCAACACCCCCGAGGCTTTATTACATGGAACTAATGGAAGAACTGCAGGAAAACCATTTAGTTGGAGAAGCACATAGAAAAAGGACCTACTATCAGAGTGGTTCAAGCAAACACAATGCACTATGAATAAAATTCATCACCAAAACTTCCCTTTCAATCTTAAAATTAGAAGACTTTGCCAATTGCCATAAACCTTTCATTATAGTGTATTTCAAGTTACTTGTTAAGTTCAACATTTAAGCATGTACTTGTTAGTATCCCATGCCTCCCTAGTCCCTACTTTCTAGTAGGGGTAAGGTCTACGCACACACACCCTCCCTAGACCCTACTGGGATTCGACTGGGTTGTTGTTTTACTTGTTAGTATCCCACATTAAAATACTCGCATTAAAAAGTAAATGATGGACTAGAAAGGCCTTGATCTTATAAAAAGTCTGTAACTCCAAACTATGATTCCAAGTCCCCACATATTATGTTCTCCGTATAATAGATTCTTCACTTATTCTCAAAGACACAAACCATCATATTCACCAAACAATTGGCCATAAAATTTCAAACTACATATATAACAGGAAATGAGGAAAGTATGAAAATTGATGACTGCATAATGAACAATAAGAGAGGGAGGTGCAGAAGATGTAACCTTTTCAGCCACAATCCGGTCGCCAACATCAAATGTGGGATACATAGACAAGGAAGGTATATATCTAGGCTCAGCCACAAAGGACCTGAACGCCAAAGAAATCGCCAAAGTGGCGATAACAGTTATGGCATCACCGGAAGTGAAATCCAGCCATGGTGGCAAAACCCTATCGACGTTCTCAGCCGGGGAATCATCTCCGCCGCCCCCTCCACCTCCGCCCCCGCCGCTCTCAGAATCTAGCTCATTCTTGGTCTCCTTATCAGATTCCTGGACACTCTTGGTGCAAAAGGCAAGAAATTTGAGGTCTTTACACTTCGGGTTCTCAAGATATCCGAAATTTGGGGTCTTGGGGAAGGATTTGAACTGGGTTTGGTCGAAGTGGAGGGTTTTTGACGAGGAATTGGAAATATTTGGCAAGAAATTTTGATTTTTGGAGCGGTGGACAGAAACGATTCTAGGGGTTTGAAATGAAGAGCAATGAGGGGTACAATTGAGTGTTATCATTGAATTGAACTGGAATGGGGGGAAATAAAATTCTTGTTTCCTGCGTCTCCCTAAAAAACGGGAGAATAGAACCCTAACGATGAACAAAGATTTATCTGACCCGATTTGAGGTATGACGGGGACCCGTAGAGATTGATTCTGGAATGGGATTAGGTTGGTTTTTACACTCAAAACTAATGAATTTTGATTATTAATTAAATAAAAATTATTCTTCTCGTCTCAATTTAAATTGTCTGTTTTGGCTTAATATGTTTGATTGAAATTATTTTCAATTTATTTTATATGAAAAACGGTGTAGAATTAAAAAAAAATAAAAAATACAAATTTAAAAACTACATCAAAAGATCTACAAAATTAGTAGTAACAAAATAGAGAAAGAAAGTGAATAAAATTTGACCTTGTGAATAGTAAACATGCAATTTAATTTGGAATGGAGAGAGTATTATAAGAATAATTTGATTGTATTTATTTTGTAAGATAATTTTTTATCTAATTAATACATAATACAACAATCTAGTTAGATCCCATGAGAAATCATTTCTTGCAAAATTGATTTTGGTTGATTGTGTACAATCAAAACTGAACAAATATTCTGAAACGAAGATAGTATTGCGGCTGAATATTTGAATTCACCCAGTGAGGCATTCAATAATTGTTTTCGTGCCCAAAATTGGTCTAGACCAAGAATAAAAAGAAAGTAAAAAAATGTATTTTTATTATAATAGATAGAATTCGTTTTTTAAACCAAAAATGCATTTATATTACTCCACCAAAGCAAATACAAGAGAGAGCAAATAATAGATAGAATTTAATTTGATTAAAAATAGCTAATTGCGGAGTATTAAATAAAAATAATAATTGTGTGATCATTGTTGCACTGGGAGTAGAGTACTATATATGTTAAGTGAGTAAAGTGAGTGTGTAATCAAAGCAGACTTGCATTGAGTGACAACTCATTTGGAGTGAATGGTAGTGAAATACCATAGTTAGCTTTATGAGTTCTATTTTTAGTATGTGTTGAGTTTAAGTGCTAGGCACTCATAGGCAATCTCTGCAAAGTGCTTTACAAACCTAACATGGCTTCTCAAAGAACTTCAATTAGACTTATAGTCTATGGCCTCAGAGAGGTTTAATGCTGAAATCCACTCTCAACTGCTCAACCCATGTCTTGGCTTGCCTTGCCTCTCTCCCCCACTAGTGTTGTTATAGCACTTATGACCAAACCATTGTAATCTGTCACCTGACATCATTAATAATATGCACATGCTCGAACTCTGTCCGAAAGACAGCATTCATTCTTAATAAGAGTCAACTATGAAATGCCTGGCGTCTGGCGATTAGATATATAAGTACCAAGTTATACAATAGAGGGACTGGTTTGAGTCCAGCAGACAGTTAAATTTCTTACCTAAAACGAAAAGAAATTTATCTGTTGCCAAAGTAATTAACCATTAAGATACTACTTGGAGTACTTACCAAGAAAGAGCTCTATAATGACCTATTTTACTCATATGCTGAGACAAGTATATATCATGCAATAAGAACAATACCAATGTGGCACTTGGTTTTTTTTTATGTGCTAAGTTTCCATTTTCCAACTCTTCAAGTGAAACCTCTACTTTGCTTCCCAGTTGTATGGGCTTCACCGCTGCTTGAGCCATTCACACCATATTCACTCGTCGGGTTGCTATATTGACCGGTGCTGCCATAGTCATGGGTTCCCAATGCCATCTTCCTGAACTTCCTCATGTCATCATTGTATTGCATGGTGTCATAATCTGAACTCCCGAATGAGCTGTACCCCATGTTGTGTCCCGGTGTGATTCCTTCGTTAAGATCAGACAGTGAAACTTGTCCTTCTAAAGCTCTCAAAACCTGTTCAATCCCAATGGCATTCGCTTGTCAATAATGTCCTTACAGAGCCTGGTCTTAAAATGGAAGGGGCAAAGGGCATATTGTAAATCGATTGAAAAACTTCTACATTTTGCTAAAAACGTATTGCTGTCTCATAGAAGGGTCTAAAACAAGTTTTTGTTGAGAATCAAAGCCTCAACTTCCCATCTGTCCTTAAAATAGTTGTGGTTACACGATAATGATGATGACTCGTCTTCTAGGTTGGGGCATTATTTTTGTTTGGATACCAAATGAAAGTTTCAGGAGAAGTTCAGGCACCACATCATTGATTGGCCAAGAGAAGCTGAGATTTCTAAGGGAAAGAACTAAACTACCTGGTTCATTCTAGGACGACGCTTAGCTGAATGTTGCACACAAGAAGCAATACATGCAACCACACGAGCCATTTCATTTCGGCTGTAATCATTTCCAATCCGTGGATCCACAAGAGGACTAAAGTTTCCTTCCTCAAGAGCCCGAGTTAGAATTGGCCTTGCCTGTAAATATTCATTGTGGCAGGTGAGTTACTATCTATCTTACAACACGTATGAAAAGCAACCAATAAAGTGAAAACAAATTGGAGGAAGTATAGGACAACCACTCACCCAATCTAACAAGCTATCATCCATGAAAGTTTGACTGGAGTCAAAAGGTCGCCGCCCAGTAATCAACTCCAGGAGCACAACCCCATACGAGAATACATCTGATTTTTCAGTTAGTTTTCCTGAAGAAGCATATTCTGGAGCCAAATATCTAAAAGTGAAACCAAAGTTTGTGCAAATTTGATCAGAATTTATTAGATAAATGGAGACGAAAATTCTAAACGCGGCAATAAGCGTCAGTGTCACAATAGGTGTTAATCAAGCCATAATTTAAGAATAGGGTCTGGGGGAGTGTGTGAGTACAAAGACCTTACCCCTACCTGAAATCGATACTATTTAAACCACTTGTTATGTTCAATCATAAGACAACAAGAATCTGGCAAAGCAAGCCAAAGAAATTGTGTTTACCCAAATGTGCCCATTACTCGTGTGGAGACATGAGTGTTAGTATCGGAAGTTAATTTTGCAAGTCCAAAATCTGCTACCTGAAAAAATGAGCAATGCAAGTTCATCAGTACAATAACAAGTCGCATTGGTAGGTGTGGCACTTTAATCACATATGGCAAAGATTATTCTTGACACTGATTGCATTAATGGATGACACATCTCAGTTCATCCTTTAATGATAGCATGGCATCGAGAAAAACTTATTCTTCAGGACATGACATTCATAAAACTAGGGGAAGAAAATAGATGGGTTTTATAAGCTTATTTGATTTTCGATTAAAAGGATAGATTATAACCATGAAACCATCCATATCTATTTATAATCCATTGAAAAATCACAAAAAAAAATCCAATCCATCTCTGATCGATTTTATAAAATCACTCCAATCCATCCATTTACTTGCTGTTTTTTCATGTATCAGGATGATTGAACAATGCATGTGATCATGTTTTAGCATACAACATCCAGGGATAAAGTTAAACAAATTTGGAAATCATGCAAGCATAAGAATAACACCTTTGCTTCAAAATTAAAATCCAGAAGTATATTGGCCGATTTGATATCACGGTGAATGATTTTGGGTTGGCCTGTATATTTTAAAACAAAACACTTCTATCAACATAAGTCAGAAGCATAGCTCACTCTATTGAAAAACAAAAGAATAAACACAACAAAGAGCTTACAGTCCTCATGAAGATATGCCAGTCCTTTTGCAGCACCCAAAGCAATCTTAAGTCGTGAAGGCCATTCCAAGGCAGGCCTTCCCTTTCCTGAAACATTCAAATGTTTTCAATTGTAAATAGAACAATCTGTGCAGAAACAAAAACAGATCAAAGAAATGCAGGATCAAATTGTTGGTAAATCTCACCGTGTAAGTGGAATTCCAAAGTGTTATTAGGCACAAACTCATAGACAAGCAATCTCTGAGACCCGGTGATGCAATATCCAACCAAAGAAACGAGATGTTTGTGATGGACCCGGCTAATGATCTCGACCTCTGCCCTAAATTCACGCTCACCCTGCCCACTTCCATCCTTCAGTTGTTTAACAGCAACCTCTTTTCCATTTGTAAGTACTCCTTTATGCACATATCCAAAACCGCCTTGTCCAAGAAGGTTTGCTTTTGAGAAGCCATCAGTTGCACTTGCCAATTCTTCATAGGTAAATGTGCTTTTTGACATGCTTAGGGACATTCCGGGAGAAAGTGGTATAAGTGAATTTGAAGAACCCGAATAGTTGGATGAAGTTCCACCACTGCTCATTTGAGGTCGAAGTGGATGCGGAGGGTGAGGGCCTTGAGGGGAAGGAATGGGAGATGGTGGGGGCCATAATGCACTAAAGGTGGGGAACGATGCTTTGGAGGAATCACAACAGGAACATTCCCTGGTGGTGGAGCATTTTGTTGCCATTGGTAAGCAGGCCCACCATATGCATCAGCTGCAAATACAAATTTTTCATGTGTGCCAGATGCGAAGATACATTCATGATCTACGATGTGCATTTTGCTTTTAGAATATCAATCTGGCAATGGGGCATGAAAGTATCTACTATTTCCACTCATGGTCTCATCAATTCATGATATTTTTACAAGCAAATGGAAACAACCTACGGCGATGTCATTTTTGTAATTTCATACGTTACTCCTTCAGAAGGTTGCAACCACAAGGGCATCTGGTGTAAACCATCGTTACTATGATTATTCACATGACTTTTTATTGCGTTATATTTGCAACCACAAGGGCATCTGGTGTAAACCATCGTTACTATGATTATTCACATGACTTTTTATTGCGTTATATCTGAACTAATTTCAGACAATTAATTACCACTAATTTTTTCCATTGAACCCAACATAGTGGAGCCTAATGCCTAGACGAGGTTGGGTGCGATTAGGCAGTATTAATTCAAAAGTAGATGGTCAAGTGAAGCCCGCTGCCTATGTGGGGACTAGGAACAATCAAAGCAATGCTACAAACAACTTCAACAAACTTTAGTGTACTCAACAATTGCCTTTTATTTTGCACTATTGTGAGCAAATATGGAATGAAGACATCTGAATTGACAGATAGAAAAACTATTATTTCCAACTACTCTTTGAATAACTATAATGTACATCGAAACTGCTTCCAAAAGTACACTATTTACTAGAATAGCTAGTCAAAAAATATATGACCAAGGGATTGGTATTAATAGTATATTCAGACCCAAGGGTTTCTTTGGCTAAACAAGAAGAAGAAACTGAACTGGAAAGCACAAAAGGGGAGAAATTTCAGTATTGTCTAGTTGCATTTTGGTTTTCAACAACCAGTCTCCAAATTTTTCATTTCAAATCAAAAGCAATGAGCATTTCCAACAAATTTCACTATATGAAAATCACTAAATCAGTAAACTACAGAAGTACATTAAAGCCGTTAAACCTCCCTGCTGAATTATAAAAGCCCTGATGTAAAAGAATTAAGAAAAAACATGAATCTCAAGAGGCAAGAAATGCAGAAGACCTATGAACACCAAAGCATTTCAAGAATAGGGCAATATATTCATCACCTTTAAGTCCAGTAGGTGGTGGTGGAGAATAGTAATCCACTGGTCCATGATGCCTTTTCCGTTTCTTCCTACAGCATATGAGTATCACACTCAGCAGGACCAATAGCAAGACCGCGGCAGCCGCAATTCCCACCACTAACCCCGTAGAGACTCCGCCGTCATCTGATGGTGGCGGTGGTGGATGGGTTTTAGGAGTTGGATGAGATCCTTTCGCCCCAGAATGGTGAGGGGGCGGTGGGGAATGAGAGGATCGGGGTGGAGGAGGCTGGGAAGGATGGGTAGAATTCTTCTCCGACGGAGGAGGAGCGGTTGACGGATTCACCGGCGAAGGGAGAGACCCGGACGACGGAGTAGGAGTAGAGGGCTTTGCTGGAGGGGGATGAGACCCAGACGACGGAGACTGAGCAGAGGACTGAGGAGAGACTGGAGGATTCGGACTCGAAGGCGGGGGCGCGGAGGTCGAGGGAGCCGGAGTAGAAGGCGGAGGGGAAGTAATGTTGGCTGGTGGCGGCGGCGGCGATGTGGGAGGAGGAGCCGCTCCGGGAGACGGCGAAGACATAGTTCCTAAGCAGAAACAGAGATCGGAAGCTGAAAACGCATCACTGACTGTGATTCGTCTTCCGCATTGTGCGATCGGATCGATTCAATTTCAATTTCAGAGCAGAAAAAAGGGGGAAATTGGGGGGAGAAGAGAAGAGATGCCGAAACAGAGACTTTCACTGATCACAGCACTACTGTTTAGAGTCTTAGAGAGAGAAAGAGAAAAAAGAAAAGAAAAAGAGAGAATAAAGGGGAATGGGGAATCGTGGAGTGGGGGCCCACATGATTGGCGCGCATTCTCCGCCTTCGCTCCGCTTCAGCTTGACAAATCGTGAAGCGAATCCAGTAGGAATACACACCTCCACTTTACACCCTGAGGTTTGCCCACGTATAAAACACTTTTTGTGTGTTCAACTTAAAGTTCCAAAAAACTTTAAGAAATTAGAAAAAATTATAAGGAGCTGGAAAATATTGAAATAAATAAAATGTTAAATTCAATTAAATAATCACTCAAATAAATATGCAAGGAAAATTCTAACTTTGGATAAAATTAATTCACTTTTCTCCATATTTGAGGTGATATATTATAAATTTGGATATCTTATGGTATTGTACGTGCATCATATATAGATACTTTTTAAGTCGTTTTTGGAAGAAACCAGAAAGAATTGGAAAAAACTGGAAGAAGTTATAAAAAGTTAGAAGTTAATTTTTCCAACCTAAAAGAACATGGCCTTAGTGTTCAAATGCACAGATAGATATCGAGTTACTTAAGAAAACCCTTTTTTTAATTTTCCTTTTCTTTCAACTTTTTCTCTTGTTAACCTTCATTTTCATCCTAGTTCGTCCTTCATCGGTTATGTCTCTTCTTTATTTGTTGTAATGCCTTGAATCTGGCCCATTACAGCAGAGAGTACGGGGGTCTCGTTGCCTGGTCAGCGAGTCGGGGGGTCCAGGGTGGCGACGCGCCCCTTGGCCTGGGGTCCGGGGGCAGAGACACCCCCGGCCCGACGGTATACAATGTTGATGTATAGTGCTATTAATTATCTGTCAATTCTGTATTTTGGCCCAAGCTTGTTAAAGTGTAGCCTAGCACTATATATATAGGTGCTATCACAAACCCTAAGATGTATTATGTTTTTGCCTCTTCATAATAAAACTGCTCCTCCTCTTCCCGTGGATGTAGCCAACACAACGTTGGTGAACCACGTTAAATCTGTTGTCGTGTTTTTCGTGTTCATATTGTTATTCTTGAATTCCGTATAACAATTTCCTAGACAGACTCTAGTTCCTACCGTTTTTCTTAATTTCTTCACTTTTCTAGGTCTCTTCCTATAGAGACTATATTTTTCTATGTGACAACCTCCTCACTTGATCCTCAAAATGATAGCTCACAACGTCTCATATCACTCTAGTGTTGAAGCTGAGTCTCGCGTCTTGGCTATTACCGTTGCAAAAGCCGACTGGGTTCGAAATCTTCTCCTTGAGCTCGAGCAATCTCTCACGCACTCTACTCTAGTCTTTTGTGACAATGTCAGTAGTAGTACGTGTTGTCTACCTCTTCCCTAATCTAGCCAAGCATCATCGCACGAAGTAAATTGAAGTTGACACTCACTTTTCCCGTGACAAGGTCGACAAAAGAGAAGTTTGTGTTCTCCCCGTATCCTCCGATCCTCTTTGCAGTATGCAGACATCTTCACTAAAAATCTTTTCTTTGTTGTATTCGCCGAGTTTCGTGACAGCCTAAGAGTCAGGCAACTCATGACAACGCTGTTGGGAGCATATTAAATATAATTAATATATACTTATTATGTAATTATGTTATTTGCTTCATTCCTTTGTCCATTGGTTTTCCCACTTCCAATAGATATAGATCTCCTTCATATTAATAGTCGAGTACCTCTCTCAGTAATGCATTATCAGATCGAAATTGTTTATTCTTCACTTTTACGTACTATTATTACTGTTTAAGACCTTATGTTCTCTTACAGCTCAGTATTAACGTTATGACCTCTATTTCACTAATGAGAACATTGTTTTACATTTTTTACTTGTTTAATGTCTGTAAATTTAGAATGTGTTCTTTTTTATAGAAAAATTATTACCGACATTTCTTACTTGTCTAATGTCTGTAAATCTAGAATTTTTCTTTCTTTTGAATAATGTTTTTATTCTATTTGGCATTTCAAAGTTTCCCATTGGGGGTAGTCTAACCGTGGAGGTTAATACTTTTGCATGTCCTATCATTGTGATACGAACTCCTATCGGATACAGGAGAACTTTGAGCGTTCTTCGAGCTCCAGAAAAGTTGAGACAAGAAAGGAATCGGTGAACCAAGAAAGGTGAAAAGATTAGGGGCTGTGATTTGTTTATTGATTGATATTGTTAATGGGGTTACATCTCTATTTATAGGAAATTGATGAAAACCCTAACCCATCTAATTTCTAGCCTATCAGTTTAACAAATGCATCGACGTAAAGAAGGGAAAAGAACTTATAGTTTTGCTTACATAATAAAATCTAGATTACGATAATAGTACTACTAAATATAATAAAATACCCTACTCTAATATTCGTAACACAATAATGTTTTTTCTGAATTATATCACAATTATTGCACTAAAAATTTGCTTTATTATGGATGATTGGTGTAAAGCTTTAGTGATATTGAAATGTTCCAAAAGTGGTTATGATTGAAATGTTCCAAAAGTGGTTATGAACAATAATGTTGTGCATACAAAGTAAACATATGCAATAATTATTGGTGGAAAAAAATACCTACAAAGACTTAAAATTTTTGAGTCCATGTTTGAACAACACAGACAATGATTTCACATATATTCAAGAGTTAGAAAAAAGTTTGTCCACTTATTAAAAAGTGAATAACTAATTAAGTATGTACTTGTCTTGCGTGTATAGTATGAAATAATATGTTTTTAATGTGTATGTATTTGTATACAAGTTTCATATCCATTAACCGCCACTATATCGATTATCTTATATAGTAAATGTATGTGGACCGTAAAAAATATATAATAAGTGAAATTTGCATCGAATAGGACTAAAACATAAGTCATTTCCCAATATATAAATCTAGCTAGTAGCCCATTCATGTCACCGTGGTTTGCATGCTTGGATGTGTCAAAATGAGATGTACTTTGTGAGTAAGATTTTCTCCCCGAGCGATATTTTTGTTAAGATCTAACTCGCAGTCTATTAGATTTTATTTAGAACTTTTTCGAGTAATGTTGTTATGTTTCGAGACCTACATGTTGTGGTGATAACTTTACTTTCTTTTGTTGAGTATGTTGATTAGATGTTTTTTTGATTGTTGGGAAATGTCCTTCAGTAAGACTGTTGGCTACTCAGTTCAATCAAAATACTTATTTCTAGATGTACGGTATATATTTCCAAATTCTTAGCCTTCTTATAATTGGATGTTCAACACCAAAATACTAAAGCCAACTGCCAACATATAAAACACAAATATTGTGAAATAAAAGTAAAATAAAATCATGACATTGTAATCATGTAACACTGTATATTGACAGTTAATAATTTTTTGATAATATGTGTTGATATTATTTAAATTATATTCCCATGTCCCAAATTAAATCATTTGTTTACAATTCACATGATCAAATTTTATTTACTTTCTTTCTCTTTTTTCGGTAGTCATTTGATAAAATAAAACATTTATGTAAATATTATTTTGTAGATTTTTTAATATAGTATTTGAATATGTAATTTTTATTTTTTTAATTCTACACCATTTTTTATATAAAATGATCTAAAAATAATTCCAATCAAACTTCGTAAATCGAAACAAGCAATATAAATTAGGACGGAGGGATTATATCTTATTTTCAACATAAAAAATAAAGGTCCTCGATTCTTTTATTAGGGAGTATGTTTTACTTTTACGGGCCATGGATATCACACTTTAAATTATGTGTAAAATTTTATTATTTCTAAAACCATTTTAATTATAGATTTGTATAAAAGTACAAAATATAAATAACACCATTTTAAAATACATAAAAAATTCTATAAAAAGAAGTCATAGAATATCTTATTTTAGAGTAAATTCCATGATTGGTCCTCTAAAATAAGAAGATTTCCATATTTAGTCCTCTATTATCAAATATTACATCCGTAGTCCTTTTATGGATGCCTTTTCACAAATAGATCTTTTTTGATTTTCTGTCATATTAGTGTTAATTTAAAGTCTACAAATATAATTTGAAACCAACCTTATGTCCAGTGATGTGTTCTGACATTGATTAGACAAATAACACAAAAATAATGACAATGATTGTGGACTAGGATTCTGACAAAAGACCACATCGGTAGACTATGATTATAGTAGAAAGCGATTGTAATTCACAAACGATGCATCAAGAGCAGCCAATGAAATTATGTATGACAAGAAGAATATATTATCATTGTGAAATTACATTTTTGACCCTCAAATTAACACTAATATGATAGAAGATAAAAAAGGCTATTTGTGAAAAAATACTCATAAAAGAAATATCAATGTACTACTTCCGTCCCAGAGTATTTGTCCACTTTCATTTTTACACACCATCCAATACACTTCTTAAATCCATTTTATCTTGTAATTTATATATTAAAAAATTATAGAAATTATATATTAATAATTTACTCCATCCGTCCCTAAATAAAGTTCCTCTTTCGTTTTTTCTTTGTCCCTAAATAAACTTCTCTTTTCCCTTAAAAAAACCCCTTTTACCCCTTACTTTTTCATACCCTACCTATCACATCATACCTTTTTACTAATAATCTACCTATCACATCTTACTTTAACACATCACATCAAGGATATTTTTGGAAAGTCAACACCAAAATATCCCTCCCTTAAATCCTCAAAAAGTCAAAAATGGAACTTTATTTAGGGACGGAGGGAGTATATGTTAAGACAAATCAAACAAGATCACACATGACTATATTTAGGCTTACACATTGAGAGAATTTGATGAGTGAAAGTGTTTAGATGAACAGTTCAAAAGTCAAAATTAGACAAATACTCTGGGAGGGAGTAATATTTAATACTAATTGAGTACTAAATACGGGGAAAGTCCCAACCAATTCGAACTGTTATCATCTCCATCCTCTGGAAAATATCTGAGACAGTTATACACACTTAAACATTGAGCTCAAATCGGTTCGTTTCTCTCTCTAAAAGACATCGAATAGCTGATGGGGTTACAGAGCTCCCTCCGTGTACTCTCACCAATATCTCCTTCTTTGTTCACCGCCTGTGACTCGCCGTCCTGTTCATATTCTTCGTCGGCGAGAACTCTCTTGCCGTTCAGACTCAGCACTAGGTCTCATCTCAAAGTCGTCTCCGAGCAGCACATACAGCTCTCGATTGATTGTGACAGTAAAATTAGGGATGGATCGGCGTCGGCGGATCGGTTTTCGCAGAATAAAATGGTGGCGGACTTCATGAGGTTCAAGCACCGCCCTAGTTCCGATGACCGGCTTGCCGAGCTGCAGACGGCCGTTGTCAGTTATCGGAAGAAGTTTCCTTGGTCATTTCTTCAGCCATTTCTGCAGGTTCTTCACCGAATTTAAAATCCGTTTATATGTTAATGCTTCATACATTGCGAATTCCNCCCCCCCCCCCCCCCCCCTAACTCGGCGTTTTATTGACTGTTTTAATTGATCATTTGTTCAGGTTGATTTGGTGTCGACAATACATATTGCCGATAAAAAGTATGTTTTGATCTTTTTAATTTGATTTCAAAATAGAATATTTTGTTCAGTTGCCGAACATTTTCAATGTATGACATTTATGGAGTGATTATGGTGTAGATACATGAATATAGATTTAGTGCGTCTTGACTTTAATCTATGATCTTTAAATTCATTTGTTAACAGCTGAAATTGATTATGTCTCTAGTAAGGTATGTGTACGTTATAAAGAACAGGGCCAAGATGCTTTTGCTACTCTTTTGTTTCCTTTGAAAAATGTCAGAATGATAATTGAAAAGTGAATCTGTTGGTTTATCAGTTTATCCTCTCTGCATACTCAGCATATTTTTGCAGAATGAGTATAGATCTTTGATAAAAATTCCTTTGTGCTGGAAACGTGGATGAACTAACACAGTTTGTATCTCGAGGACGTGGATGAATATAGTTCTATGATTAAAAGTACATAGTATGTTTCATTTTGACTTTCAATATTGGGTCTTGCTTTTGATTTTCTTTAATAAAAGATCTTTGGAGAGTGAATTGCATGCTTTTCTATTTCTTGAGTTCTGGTAATAAATCTTGTTGCTTGCAATCAACTTTGAACATAAAAAACGTATATCCTAGTCGCTAGCTGCATTTCAACTAATTGTTACATTTGCAGGTACTTTGCAACCCTGCAAAGGGAACTTGAACCATATGATTGTGTTCTTTATGAAATGGTAGCTAGTAGGGACAGTTTAGAGAGTAGAGGAAACCTTTCTGTAAAAAAGAGTCATGAACTCTTAAAAGACAAGGGCTTCAATATTATTGGTTTCATTCAGAGAAAGATGGCTAGACTTCTTATGCTTGGTTTCCAATTAGATTGTCTTGATTACCAGTCCAAGAACTGGTATCATGCGGATCTTGACTTTGAAACCTTTAAGTTACTTCAGGTACTGCATATTGCCAGATCACTTCTAATTTTGTTTTATTCAGTTCCAGTTGTTCTATTTCTCTAGGGTTGATATGCCTAATTTATTTGCTGTTCAATGGGAAGGCTCTTTCATTTTGAATGCATCCATCACCTTTCTATTAAACTCCCTTTTCTAATATAAATGTATGGGTGTTGATAAAATTAAGTTATGAAGTACTACCAGTGCATTCATCCCAGAGTATTCATGTAGTTTGACTTCGACATTAGATTGTACTCTGTATCGTAATGCAAAGCAAATACTCCTTGGATGGAGGAAGTATTTGAGGTCTGAGAAGCTTTTACACAATTACACTCTACACTCCCTTTCTGTTTGCTCTTGCATGTTCTAATCATGAAGAACATCTTAAATTTAAATGACGGTCGAATTTACCGCCAATGTCTCTTTTCAGCATCAGAAAGGTGAGAATTTCTTCACATTTGCCAGTGATATGACAGCTACGTCTACAGAAGCCATTGAGCAATCTGCATCAGTACCAGTTGATCTTGGAGAATGGAGACCCAAACTTCTGTGGGCTTCACGTGTGCTACCTATGCCTCTTATTGGACTTGTCATCATTGAAGGAATCTGTGCAGATATGCTAAGCCAGGCATCACAGTATCCAGAGTTAGAAGCACTGTCAAGGCTTGATTTTGGTGCTGCAGTGAAACTGTTTCTTGCGAAGCGTATAACATCTGAGTAAGTGTATTCATGTGAATTTGTTGTGATATTGAAGGATTGTGAGCAGAAAACTATTTTTGTATAGTGGAGGTTGTGTTGTTTTGGTATGTCCGGAGCAAGTACCTCAATAAATCAAGTTAAGAGTGCATTCTTGCTTTGATGCCGTTATATGATGGCTCAGGATTTGAATCTTGCTGACTAGAGGAATCCGAATGGATTGGGTTTTTTGTTGTGGGCACGATTGCATACAAGCAGTTTGGGTAACCTACAGATGGCTAGAGCCTCCTGTGGTTTAATCCCTCTGCTGAGGCTGTGTTTGGAACCCAGAAAATGGTTAGGAAATGGAAAAGTAACGCTAAGAAAAATCAAGATCTATATATGGGTTTACACAGGAAATAAGGGAAGAAAAATCAAAATTGACTTTTGACTAAAACCAATCAAAACTTCATTTATATTTACTTGTCTTTATATAATACTATAATAGAAGTATATAAACAAAATGAGTTTTAACAGACACCTAAAACTGATTTCTTGAGTTCAAAACCAACTCTTTATTTTTTCCCAGCATTTTTTTAGTTCCAGACCTACCTGAAATCTTTAGGGAAGTGGCAGTTAGGAGTCCTCTAGGTTTGTGAGTCAAACAATCTTTACAAGTAATCCCTTGGCTCTTGCACATGCAGGTTCACACAAGTGACAACTGATGTGGAGGCAAAATCCGTCATCATCGGAGAGAGAAACAGGGCTGCAACAGAAGCACTTCGAAGCGCGATTGGCGAGGGCCACAACAAGATAGCCATCCTTTATGGGAGTGGGCACATGCCAGACTTGGGTCGACGACTACGCGAAGAGTTTGACCTCTTCCCCTCTCAGGTACAGTGGTTTACAGCTTGGTCTATTGGCGCCAGCAACGTATCTAACAGTTCTCTTCCCTTTTTGACAACTGTAGCTGATACGTTGGGGTGGCCGTTGAACCGATACCAAACAGTAGCACTGCTACTGTTTTCATCGGTCCTTGCTTTTGATCTTTGTTTATGGGAACTGTTTTTTGGAACCACAGCTAACTTGTTTACACAAGTTGCCTCCGACATTTTCCAATGCATTGGCAAGTCATGATAATATTGATCTTTGTAAAACCCGCAGGCGTTTCTAGCAGAACTTGTATAAATGTACATATGTTTTCATATTTCATGATGATTGTGTTCTAGAACTTTGTCATTTAATCACGCAATCACGTCCCATCAATGGAGCCCTGTTTCTAACCTTATTTTTATCCTACCAGAGTCAAGTTTGAACAAAACAATCTATGTTCCATATTTTCTATATCATATTTGATGATTTTATGAAACATGATGAAGATTGCCTTCTTTTGTTCAAATATTTCTAACTCACTAAAATGTAAATGTTGTACAGGCCTCTTTTATGGGATAGAGGGATTATGAGATTGTTCTTCCTAATTTTAATCAGAGTTTGGTAATTGAAGTTTAGAAATTAGACTTAATTTCAATTGGAGTTTGGTAATTAGAGTCTGAAAGTTGGATCTTAGAGTTTGATTGTTTAGAGATTGGAGTTTGAAAACCAAAATCTGAAATTTAGTGGTATATGGGAACTTTCTCTATGGTCTTTCATACTCTTCCAAGATTTCACATTTTGAGTTAAAATAAAGGTAGAATTCTCACCCCATGGGTCCCCCACACCCTGTCCTGGGGTTGGTGGAGGAAAGAAATTGGGGGATGTGTCAGGATTTTTTTCACCGCTATTCAGACCCCCGCCTTGTAGGTTAGCTCGCCCAACCTTTTGCCGGGGAGGGGGGGGGGGGGGGGGGGGG